GAATTGAGTATCGTCTCCTTTTTGGAATGTCGGCAGAAAATGAAATAATTTATAATTTAAAATTAAAAATTTTGTACAGCCGACTTCAATTTAAGTTATTTAAGAATAACTCAATAACCATTGGTCTGACCTTGATCAAATACATATGGGACCACACGAGAACTATCAGCTTTCATATAAAAAAAGAATCATCGAAATCGGTCCCCCAGTACAAAGTTATGAGGTAACACACATAAAAAAGAAAACATACACTCGAATTGAGTACCGTCTCCTTTTTGGAAGTCGGCAGAAAATGAATTGAATTACTTTATTTATTTATTACTAGCTGTTCCTCGCGACTTCGCCCGCGTGTTATTTGGGGTTTTAGCTTTTTTGCGCGGAACCCTAATATTTTTCTAAAATAAAAGTAGCCTATGTTACTCCTTATGACATCAGCTATCTGCCATGAAAGTCCCGTCGAAATCGGTCCAGCCGTTTCAGAGATTAGCCGGAACAAACAGACAGACAGACAGACAGACAGACAGACAGACAGACCGACCGACAGACACAAAAATTTTAAAAATTGTGTTTTTGTTATAAGTACCGTATATACTTTCATATGCATTTATTAAAAAGCTGGTATTTTGACATCAAACAGACACTTCGATTTTATTTATTTGTATAGATTTATATTACTTTGCATGTAATCATTACTCGTATGCGAATATAAGAATGTTGCTATTTCTCCCAGAATTACGATTTGTACATAATGTTTGTAGAGTACGAAGAAAGCTTGATCAATGTAATTTTTTATAGAAGTAAATTGTATTTAAAATTATAGGTGTGTAATATTAGTTATTTTTGATAGCGTTATGGCGGCTCTTCACGTTAGCCAACATAGTGGCGAATATGTTGGCAAAGATATTGGCCAAGAATTTGTGATCGCGTCCACACGTTGGAAAGTCCTTCAGTTTGCTTCGGTTCAGGCTAATGTGCGGATGAATTTATTAAAATGATTATTGAGGCGCTAACGGCTGCTGCGGTTTATTTATTCACAGCATACCACTACAACGTGAATAAACGTGAAAAGGGTGATCAAAAAGAAATGGAAAAAAGAAATTTTATTTCTTGACGGCTCCGTGGCGTAGCAATGAGTTGCTGCGCTGAGGGCCGCGGGTTCGAATCCCGCACGGAACAAGTATTTGTATGGCCTGCAAATAATTGCTCCGGGTCTGGATATTTGTCCTTATGCAATTTATGTTCGTAAACTGCCACCACGATACAGGAGAAAATCTTAGTGTGGGGGGTAACGTTTTTTTTTTTTAGAAAAAGACTTGATTGTGTTTCACAACCAATTTTCGGTTTGGTAGGACTCTATAAAGTGAAAAGTTTTTTCACTGCTCATTGTTACTGCCATTATGTAGACACTAGTTACGATGCGAAAGCAAACTGAACGTGTGCCCAACGTGTGGACGCGGCGACCAATACTCTGCCACAACCCTTTGATCATTTGTAAAAAAAACCGACACCACACGGATCTCGCGCAAACTTGTGGCCCATCATTCCAATACATACCAACGTAAGCATAAACCTTGAACGAATTAACCACCGTTCAGGGCATTAAACACCCGCTCTACACGATGACCATAGTTATTGGCCAACACATTCGCCAGTATGTTAGCCAACGTGAAAAGCCGCCTTTAGAGCATACATCAATCCATTTCGGTTCATGGGTGTCGTATGAGGCGACACTGGGAAATGCCACAAAGATCTGATTTCCGTAAATGGCAGTACAACCATCGCTTAACGACAGGCGTGAAATATCTAGACCTGCGACGGACAACAGTGTAAAGTGTGAGACGTAGACCTTACACTTACACCTTACCTGACGTAGACGTACTGTAATTGTCAATCCTCCAAGAATGAAAGACAAATATTGCCTACGACGTGGCCCGTGTCTAACAGTGGACTTTTGTGGACTTATGAAGAAGAACAGAAATTCCTTTCACTTTTCCTTGAGCAACAATTATTATTACTAATCAAATTTAAAACGCTAACGTCGAAAACAAATTAAAACTTAAAATAAAGTATTATTCGATTTAATTGCACTCTGCGCTGTATTACACTTAACTCAAAATACAGTTAAATTGTAATTACAGAGTAATGCATATTGCGTACGATAACTACAGAGAAGTTAATTTTTTTTTTTTTGAAGAAATTATAGAATAAAACAGACTAGGCATACGTTTATTTCACGAAAAGTTTACTTTCGCAAAAAATGTAAATTAAATCTATCACTTTTAGATTAAATAAGTTAAAAGTAAAATTACAGCTTATATACATACGTCCAGCGGCTGACCTGGGCACAGACCTCTCGCATTTCTGAGAGTTTTAGAGCAAGAAAATGCCCGCCGCACTGCCCGCCCTATTGCGTGTTGGCGAACTTTACATGCCCTCAAAAATTTTTTTTTATTATTTACAGCATGCATGTTTCCTAACGGTGTTTTCCTTCTCCGCCGAGCACGTGTTAAATAGGTACATACATTGACAGGTTGTCACAAAATGTGTATGTTTAATCATATTACTTGTTAAACAACGTCCAATTATAATGCAGTAAGATGACAAAATACTCTTTTCATAGTGTAAAAAAGCAAAACATCTAAAGAAAATCAAAATGGGTCGACATCATTTCGATAAGAAGTTTAAGCGTACAGCTCGGCAGCAAATGGCGTCGCGGTTTTCGCTTCGATTATTATATCACATAGACATACCGTTACAATCGGTAATGGTGTGTGCAGTTAGGGTGTGAGTTTATTGCTTCCTAGTCGACGGGCTATGAGAGTAGCGCCGGAGATAGTCACTCGTTATTGGAGCACGCATGCGAGCAACGCTATACTGCAATATTGACGTCAAATATTTCTCTAAATGAGGTAAAAATAATGTGCCTATGCAAAAGAGAGACGAAACTTAACGCTTTAACGCTAGACGTAATTTTAATTTATCAATTTTAGAAAGTCAGGCAATTGCTTTGGTAAAACATACACTATAAACAAAATAACTCCTTAACTTTGCATGCAACTTAATCGAGAGGTAATATCGAGAACGTACTTTCATCAATTCCATCCATTACAGCGTACAAAAGTCCACTGCTGAACATAGGCCTCCCCTATAGATTGCCGCCTAAGGGGGATTTTGCTATAGTTGGCACACTTGGCAACCGCAGTATTTTATAATTTTGAATTGTTATCAGAAGGACGCTGCTGCCTATCTCCTGGTTTGTTTCCCTCTGTCGCCTCTTACGACACCCAGCGATAAGGGGTAGTGAATATTCTTACACCGCCACAACACGGACTTACTTCACACTTTTATGTTACTTAAATAAGTTACAGTTTCAAATACCGCTATTTAAATATATGAATTTAATTTAGGAAAAATATAAGAGTTCATTATGAAAAGTAACTGTATGTAGCAACAGTCACTGTGTGTTTAAATGAATGCTTTGTTTGTTGTAACGTTGGGGAATTACTACTTCGTTGGAGTTGGTTCACAAAGGTAACAACTATATTATGTGAACAAGTGCACCGTTGTTTTCTTATAAAACTGCAGAAAACTATTGTCTTCTAGGGACATATAATAAAAAAAATACTGATATACTGAAGCACTAAATAGAAATAATTTTATTAACGTCATTTTTCGTTGAGTGAGTGCGTTGTATACTGTGAGATTGCCGACGGTGGGGACTGTCCACTGATTAGACAAATGATCGCCAGGACTATGTCCTGATTAATAATAAAGTATTAAATACAAATTATATTACTAACATAGATATAAGTTTTTCTTTACTAACAAATTCTATGGATCTTGTTATCCGAAATAAACTATTTCATTTTTTATTTATTTATTTCCATTCTTCCGTCCCGAGATCGCTACATATAAAGAAATATACGCGGCACCTAACCGCAAAAGTTCCTCAGGCAACATCCTCAAAAACATTGTTTTCTGAGCCATACGTAATGTTTCTAGAAATCCATAGAGTTGTATCTAAAACAATATTGCGTAATGAATATGTGGCTTGAACCATATTAATCATTGTTTGAAGAAATTGTGTTTTTTAATCATTTGTTTCGTAGTGAATAAATTGCTAAAAGCTTCTAAATATGAGCGACAGCGCAATCAAAATGAATACATTATTTTTATATTAAAAATGCCCTCCCGACCTGAAGAAACGCAATCTCGGTTTTTTTCGGAACCGGAACCGAAAAACCAAATTTTTTAATAAAGGCCGATTCTGTACTTCTGCATTATCTTATGAGTATATTGCTTTTAAATAACTTCTGATTTAGTTGTTAATGCTTTTAAATAACTTCTGATTTAGTTGTTAAAGTATTTTCAAAAACGATGCATACCTTAATTATTAAGGTGTACCTATTACTCTTGATATACGCAAAATCGAGTAAGGAGTAACACAACATGCTACAATTTTCAAATGCTAAGCCTCACCTCCCTTGGTTATAGCACCCAGATCATTATTCTATGGACAAGGTTTTTCAACTCTGGATAGAAGTGCGAGTGCGATAGTTTTGGCTCTGCACTGACTAATCCGCCTGACCAGCTTAAAGAGAATCCTAGTTTCGGCGATTCATTCAATACATTCTTCGTTTGGCGCATTCTAAATACTATATATTCAGCAATGTATTCAAAAGGCTAAACAGGTGACGAAGTTGGCGATGTAACTGGGAAATAACGTAAAACTTTTGGTCCTGCCATTAATCTCTTTCTCTGTTCGTGTAGGATTGGCGTTCCTTCGGAATATCGAAGTGAGGAAATAGATACACCTGTGCTTCGCCACACACTCCTGTCCTGCGCAGATGATTAGTCTCCATTGGGACTATCCAACGTGCCTGAAGTTTGATCTGGAGTTTATTATTGCAATTGAGAAATAAGACTTATTTAACAATGTAATACTCAGGTATTCGCAAATGGACATCAATGTAAATAAATGTAGAATTGAGTGACAGTACCTGCAGCTCGAAGGGCTGGTGGTGCTGCGCGGAGTCGGGCGCGGGCTGTACGACGGAGGTGCCGTTGACGAGACCGGCGCCGGCACCCGCCACGCCGCCGCTGCCGCCGCCCACGCCGCCCACACCACCAACGCCACCCACGCCGCCCGCGTACTACACACACGTCATATTTCAATAAAAAAAAATAACCAACTTTATTTAAAGTAAAACATTGTTTTTAAAACATATAAGTAAAGAAACTTTAAATCCGTCATGTAATACCTACTCTACATATTACACATTTATTATTATTTACACACATTATTTATTATAATTAGGTCAAATTAAGCCGAACATGGGTAATCAAGGGAAATAATTTGTGTAATGTTGTAAATTGGTACAGTTATATCTTGAAGTGTCCAGATGAATATACTAAAAGATCTCAAGCATGGGGCGTGTTCTGAGAGTGTAGAGAGGGTGATTTTTATCTCTCTGTTAACTTAAGGGGCTACTCCATGCGAACGACCTTGAGCATTTGGTGTGCCGCGCCGACTCGCTATCGCGTAAGAAATATGTAAGACGCCACATACTGTACGAACGTAGTATTTTTTCAACATCAATAAACAATTTTATGGAAATACACACAGCGTACAACGATAAATGTATTCTAATTTTTTTATTCGGTATATTAGTTGCATATAGTAATTTTGTTTCACGGCACATCGTGGAGTAATGATAGGAGTCTCGCTGAAAAAGGGATAAAAACTGTAACGTTGACTTGAAGACAGCCTTCTTGCTCTGAATACCGCAAAAACAAAATATGTTTGTTTTGGTATATCAACCAGTTCTCGACCTGGCAATAGCTTCCAGATTCAAATCTATACTCACCCATGTAACAGGCTACTGCGGTTACCTGCCACGTGTAATTGTGATTATTTGTCACGTGTGACAAGCATAAAGTATTTGGGAGTTATTGTTGATGAAGGGCTTAGCTGGGTCCCACAAGTAACTGCTCTAGCGAGTAAAACAAGGAGGCTAGTTTACACATTTAAAACTTTACGTGATGTGGCTAGTTATGATGTTCTTTTATTAACCTATAGGTCCCTGTGTAAGAGCATTATTTCATATTGTATTTGTGTCTGGGGGTGCGCAGCAAAGACGCACCTCATTCTACTAGAGCGTGCGCAACGCACCGTCCTCAAAGTTATGCTGCAGTTGCCTTTTAAATACCCCACATATTATGACCTGTACAAGCGGTGCGGTATGTTATCAGTACGTAAATTATTTATATATCAGTGTCTCCGTAGGTATCACCGCCTTTTTGTTCCTGGTCTTCCTAAAAGTAACAAACGAGTAACAAGACTACCCGTACCTAGGGTCAGGACCGTGTTTGCAAGAAAAAGCTACAGCTTTTGTGCACCAATGCTCTATAATAAATTATTTAACAAAGTTAAAACTGTTATTAAACTTAATAACCACGAATTTAAGAAAATTCTAAAACAAACTCTTAACGGCTTGAATTACGATGCGACTGAAGATTTGTTCACGAAGATCACTTAATAACACACACACTCACTCACTCACACAACACACGCACGCACGCACGCACGCACGCAACTTGGACTTCGAATAGAATTAGTACCATATTATTACTTTTTATATTATTTTTATTATTTCTTTATAATACTCTAATATACATTATAATACTTTGACAATAGATGGGGAAGTCTGAGGCCTGTAGCACAGTTTTAACTAACGCAGGCTTTAGAGCTCAAAAATAACTGTAACTATAATGTAATGTATGTTAAATAAATTTCATTTCATTTCATATTCTTATGTGTTTTAATAGTATCAAGATGAAGATTTAAGAGTGTTTACAAAATTATCAGCACATTCATTTGATGGAGAACGGTATATACCTATAATGGTAAAGTCTGAGATAGATAGATACCTGGATAGCAGATGCGTGTGTTAATTTAATCTCTGTAACCCGATTATTTTTGACGTATGCAACCATCACAAATAGTAAGACGTATAATTACTTAACAAAGGTAATTGTTTATTACAGTTTAGTCTACACTCGGTTAGTGTGAAATACATCTACATCATGTTTTAGTAGCAGAAGATTGATCTGTAGGTCATCGAAGTTACTATATATACTTCTAATATTTTGTGTTAAAACGGTAAAGTTACAATTTTTCCGTAGTAGGTAATTGTGAAATTTTTCAATATTAATTATAGCTGAGTTCGCATATCCAGTTCCAATAAAGTATTTAGATTATATTAGAATTATGTATTCTCATATATTATCTAATTATGAAATTTTATAATTAATTATATATTAAAAATGAAGCACTGAATATTGTGAGTTTAAAAGATACCTACTCACTATAGGTAAATAGATAAGATAGCTCGCCTTTTGTACAAATATTTGGTGCAATAAAGAATAAATAAATAGGATGTTTCGTAGAGTGAGAGTAATATAGAATGAGAGTCGTGGAGGCAGTTTACAAACATAAATTGCACAAGGACAAACATCCAGACCTGGAACAATTATTTGCAGGCCTTACAAATACTTGTTACGTGCGGGATTTGAACCTGCGGCCCCCAGGGCAACAACTGATTGCTAAGCCACTGCGCCACGGAGCCGTCACCGGGTTATAGCTAAAGTGACCATACGTCCCGTTTTGCTCGTTTGTCCCCAAATAGAGCTCCGGGACACAAAATTGTCCCGTAACTCGTTGGATGGAAGTATTCAAAGCCAACAATCTTCAACATAATTTTTTAATCGAATATATTTTATGTCTACCTGGTACAAATGCTCCAGTAGAAAGAGTATTTTTCTATTTTAATAAATTGTGGACGTCTGAAAAAAACACTTACGGTGCCAGTTCTAAAGGCGATGTTGTTAACAAAGGTAACAATAAAAAAACCTTGCCGAGAATTTTATTCTTATTTAAAATCATCAACTTTATTAATGCAATTTTAATCCACTGACAAATGTAATTAATAATTTAAAAAAATATGTTGCATTTAATAATTACCGTCTATACCGAATATAATTTTATAGTGAACACTAATTGTATAAAGTTATAGTTTTAGAGTATAAATTAACCCATGTCCAGTTTTGAATTAAAAAATAAATGGTCAGTTTAGTTAGAGAGTCGAGTAATAACCCGCAATGCCGCAGATAGGCCAACTTAGACGCCCAGGCCGAATTAGTCGCATATAGGCCGACTTACGCGACCGGGCCTTATTAGACGACCATAGACCAAATTAAACGCCCAATTCAAACTCAAACCTTACATGCTAATGGTGCTTAATTTTTATATTTGCATTTACTTCAAAGAAAATACACGCAAAAAGCTTCTTCGCGCAGTAAAAAACACAACAAATATATGTATAACTAATAAGAAAAATTATACCCAAAACAAACAAATAATACTACCTATAAATAACCTAATAAGTAATAATATTATCGACTGATAAGATGACGTGAGCGTGTGCGCTGGCCGACGCTCTGACTAACGACACGGGTTTCACGTTCAAGAGCTCAGCGCTCACTGACTCCACCAAGCCCGTGGGCAGTGAATACGACCAGATTTTAAAATAATTTCTTAATAAAATCAAATTTTGGTCTTTCGAAAAAAATTTTAATAGAAATGTTTATTAATAAATTGCCTATCCATTGGTGTAAATCGCAAAATAAAATAATACTTACTTTACGAGGAGATGCATGTTATCAATAATAATTTCACATTTATGTGGTTTCGTTGTAAGGAGATTATATTAATATTTATTCCTTTAAAAAAAAATGGATATAGCTTTTATGATATCAAGATTATGTAGAAATATAATGTGTTTTTTATTTGTTGATATATCTTTTAAATAAAAAGTAGATAGCTCCTAAAAACCGCACAAATAACGACTAGCGCGACATGCAACCTGCGTCTTAAACAGCCTGTAAGCTCCTAAAGAAAATATATATAGAAACTTTCGAGAGAAGTAATCATAACGCCATTCGTACAGATATTCGAGATATGAGCATAAACCTGAAAAATGGGACCTACAACTCCTTCTCCCCCCAGTCCCCCCTACATCCTCAACACACCGTTCACCCTTGAGGTCTTTTAGTATGTTCATTTGGGTACCTCAAGGTGTAACTGTACAAGGTGTAATTAATAAAGAGAAGTTTAGAAAGTTCTTGGCAAGGTGTTGTTTAAATAAAAAAGTTCTTTAATTTTTTTTGTACGTGGTAGAGACATGCTGCAGCTATATTACTGGTATAGTTGTAGCACGAATGGGTCGGCTCAACCGGGGAAGGACCATACTCTCACAGAAGTGTAAAATATCAGCTTAACGCTGCTGTGTTTCGTATGTTGAGTGTAGAGAACCGGAGACCCTTTTTACTGTAAACGAGGCATTCTTTCTTAGTCCTCACAGGTGACAACGGGATAGTGGGTTATCTTATGCCGCCGCTACTCAGCAATGGTCATACTTAACGGTAAAATTATCGTCGCCGTGTGTAACACACCTTTACAGTAATGATGAAAAAAAAAACAAAGTGATTACTCGATCACAATCGTGAACAAGCAGCATCACACTAAACTGCACAAGACAGCTGAACTCTTAAAATGTTATTTTTGTCATGTTTGTTTCAGTATTATCCATTATAGTTACACAATTTTCAGGTTGTTCCCTCGAAAGTGATTAGATTCCACGATTTACAAACAAATGAATATAAAATGAAGCCGTACAATGAAATTAATGGTAATTTCGTCATTGTTTTTGTTAGCGCATTGTCTGTACGCACCTGGTGGGTTTCGTAGCGTACACCAAACACTAATGTAGTAATTTCTCGCTTCACTAATGAAGTTGATTTCGAACAATGTTTTAAAAACACATAAAATTTATCAATCTCAGTGAAAATGAATATGTTATTATATTCTTGTTAGCACGAACACTACGACAGACTAAACCTAGATTTTTAACTGAAATGTGTAATGTGAACGAGGTAGAGACATGCTGCAGCTATATTAGTAGTATAGTTGTAGCACGAATGGGTCGGCTCGACCGGAGAAGGACCACGCTCTTACAGAATACCAGCGTAAAATAGCAGCTTAACACTACTGTGTTTCGTATGGTGAGAGCAGAGAACCGGAGACCCTTTTTAC